TTGGAGAAATCCGGACTATATTTCTCAGAAGAACCAGGTGTTACAGGGGGGTACAGGGTGGGTAAAGCGATATCAGGGCTGGGATATTGAGGAGGTGGGTAGGGGGGTGAAAAGGGGTTATTCAGACTGTTAGTCTGTTTCTGTATGCTCTTTTCTGCTTCTAAAATCCGTTTTCGAGCTTGTAAAAATATCGGAATAAATAGAGAAGCTTTATGTTCACCATTTTCAACTTTTAAAGTTAATATCTGTCCAATTTGGCCCCAAAATGAAAGCGAATTCATTTTCTGCACAGTAACATTTGGTATTTCTGTTTTCAGCCAGCATACAAAATGCAGTAGAAGCTTATTTCGGAATGATACATTGTTTAAAATATTGTTAAGGTGTTTTAGTGTGCTATTTTGTTACTGAACACATTCAGGACTAAGGCAGCAGAAGCTCAGGCATCTGCAGGGAAAGTCTTGGTATGAGCCGGCTCCCAGGACCGAGGCACAGTGAACCCTGAACACACAGTGCTGACTGCTGACGTTTCCCCCCCCTCTCAGCCCCTAAATTACCAGGCTAGCCCAGAGATCTGAGGTTTTGAGGGGAGAAACATCAGGAGATGGGCAAAGATTTCAAAAGAGGCTCTTACCCCGATGTAGTTGTCCAGCTCTTTTTATTCTGTGATGCCCAGAGGAAAGAGCGGGGCAAAGAGACCCAACAGGAAGGGTTAGGAGTTTATCTAGGCTCTGGAAAGAGAGGGCTTCTTGGCTCTCCACCAGCCCTGTTGGGGCTGGAAGGGGGAGAACAGGCTTATCTGATCAGAGTCACAGAGGTCTGGGGAATGGGGAAAAAGACATAGCCCGAGCGCACTGTAACAGAGCACCAGCTGGATTCATGGGGACAGGGAGCCTTTAAGGGCACTGTACACACACACTGTGTAGGATTTTTAATGCATATACACCGCCTCACAAATTCTTCTTTTAATGTGCTATTTGTGCCTTTTTTGCTATCAGAAAGATTTTTCCTTTCAATTTGAAATTCTTTAAGAAATTGACTATAGACAGTGTTTGCCCTGAGGTATTATTGACCTCTGTCCAGCAAACAACCAAAGAATAATTTATCTCAGGCTTCATGGGGCATTGTCAGCTTATGAGAAGGAAGTGTGTCATTGTGTTACTGAAAAAGATTAATTAGTTTTTATTAGGAATAGGAAGTGGCTTCATATTTACCTACTGATTTTGTTTTTATGGACTCTTCCTGGTCCTCTTAGTAATATGTTAATAACTTTTTTTTGCTTATCTACTACATATTAACTTTAAATTATCTGATAGAAATTACTGATTACTTTATGAAATTATTTAATATGCAGACATATCCTCAAGATCATTTGTGATCTGCATTGCAAATTAATTAATTAGATTACTATAATAATCACTAAACGGTGCAATATAGATTGGTATAATATAGTATACGGCACAGAAAATAATCTTGAAATCATTAGCCATAGAAAAAGATTAGAATTCTTTAGAGCCTTTTGCTGTTATTAATGGAAAATGAAAAACAGAAAGAAAAGAATGTTTGAATGAGAAAATGTGCAGCAGAACTCTAGCACATATCAGTTAGCAAGTGCCTGTCCTAATGGAGTATGTCTATTTAAGAAAAGCTAACAGTCCCAGAACAAAGAATTCTAAATTAAATATGTTGCATTTCTCTCTCTGTGCATTTTTAATATATATTTAATAAGTTATTGTAAATTAGCAGCCATTCCTTTCAGTAACAAAATTGCATTTTAGGAAAAATATCAGTGTGATGCAAAAAAACAAAAGGAACACTGATACCCTGAACAATTCTTAGTTTCTTTTTTTGTAGGAGGGGACACAAATGGCTGGTTTTGTGTATATGCTTTAATAAAGTAATTTATTGTTAAATTTTAAATAGCTTGGAGAAGGTTCAGTCCTCTCTAAGCAGTAGACTGGAATGGATCTCATTGTGAATGCATTACCTGTAGCACATAACCCAAAGGAACAAGCAAGTTTAAGAAGTGAGGTTTACTCCACCCAGCAGGTAATGAGCCAGGCTTGAGCTGAAAATGCTGTATTAGGCCTGGTACTGTATTTTCCAAAGCAGACCTAAAGCCTTCTTTAATTGAGCTTCCACAGAAGACTGTTAGACTTTGTGACATGCAAGTCTGAACTTCATGGCACAGCTTCCTCCTGTCACACAAGCACCTTCACTGTATCATTTCCCTCTCCCTTGTGAGGGAAATGAATTGTACAGAAGTTACTAAAGAAATTCCACTGCTTGATGCAGAAGTTCCTTTGGGCAGGACCCTGACATAGGCTGGGGTATTTTCACAATCTAATATTATTACTTGCTGTGTTCAAGTTGTGTCAGCTATTAGTCTAGGAATCCATTAATTCTTTAGCTGGAGCAATTTTTCCCCTTAAAATAATCAGGATATAGCTGACAGAAATTGGCTATAGAAAGGCAATTGTCTGTGTTCCAGAGATTCAAATTATTCAAGTGATGGTTAAAGCGGGTGCCAGGGCTGCCCTGTGCAGCTGAACACAGTGTGGGCTCCCTGCCTGCCCTGTGGAACAGCTTTGTGCTCTCCCTTATGTCCTTGCCCAGCCATCACCTTGGGCAGAAAACCCAGGCCAGGGGGACAGACATTGCTGGCCAGGAACAAACACACTCCAGACAAGCTGGAAATTGGCTCATCCTGCAGGAAGCCAAGTGTTGCTGTAGCTCTCTCCACAGATAGCAACAGGCACAAATTTCCCAGGCATTGTCCAGGGGAAGGCTGTTGTCCTGGTTTAGGGCAAATTTGGGAGAAAAACCACTGGAAGGAGCCCCCAGAAAACAAACCCCCACAGCCCCTCCTCCCCACCTGGTTTGGGAAGTATTTTCTCAGAGAGAAGTGGAAAAGAATCTGTTTATTTAACAAACAAAACACTCCCCGGCACCAGAAAATGAACAACACCAGATGACAAAAAAACTCTTTCACCACTCTGAAGAGATGACAAATCCAGAAAGTCTCTCCTGGGAGTGGTCGCCCGGGTCTGGGTGCTGGGAATTGCTCTGGGCACTGGGGATGGCTGCTGCATATCACAAAATGCAGACTCTTGGTGTTCCTCAGTGTTTCCCAGGTCCCAGTCTGGAGCAGGTTGGAATAATATTCAGGAAAGGGAAAGGGGAAAAAAAACCAGTCCAGGGAAAAAAATTGGACTGCTTAGCTAACCTAACAAACAAAAGCAAAGGCAAAAGCAGAAGCAGGAGCAAGAGCAAGCCAGCAAAGCAAAGCAAGCCAGCCAGCAACAGCCTCTTCTAGACAACAGATCATGGCAGGAGGTGAGCTGGCTGATAACAATACAAAACAAACCTTCACTTTCAGAGTCAGTTCTGAAAGCACAGAACATAATATCAAACATAGAGAAAACACGACTGGGGATACAAACACCATAACGTCACCCCAGGACATTCCACCCCTTATCACCATATCGTCAACATAATGTAAAAACTTCATCAAGTAGAAACTTCCATCTTTCACTTACTCATACACATTTCCTTCCATCTCACTTACTCAAACCTCGACACACATTTCCTTCTATTTCACTTGCTCAAACTTTGACACACATTTCCTTCTGTCTCATGTATGTGTGTTTTCATGCACAAACATTGGCAGTAACATCCAGCAAACAGTGATATTTGCACATGAGTTTCACCCCACAATCAGATCTCCCTGAGGTACACATTGTGTTGCTCCATCTCTCTGCATTATCCACCATGTACAACCTGGTCCCTGAGCAAAGACAATCCCATGAATGGGTTTGTCTGTATTTGAGGCAGAATTAATCCACACTGATTTCCCTAACAAACCTCTGACATGTGCCACTGGGACTTTATCTCCATTTACTATATTCAGGGACTCAGACTAGGCAGGACCTGCTCGATTGGTGGAACCTCGGCTGTTAACTAACCAGGTGGCCTTTGCTAAATGTTGCTCCCAATTTTTGAAAGATCCCCCACCCAATGCTTTTAAGGTGGTTTTTAACAGTCCATAGTACCTCTCCACTTTGCCTGCAGCTGGTGCATGGTAGGGGATGTGGTACACCCACTCAATGCCATGTTCCCTAGCCCAGGTGTTGATAAGGCTGTTCTTGAAATGAGTCCCATTGTCTGACTCAATCCTCTCAGGGGTACCATGCCTCCAAAGGACCTGCTTTTCAAGGCCCAGGAGGGTGTTACGGGCTGTAGCATGAGACACAGGGTAGGTTTCCAACCATCCAGTGGTGGCTTCTACCATTGTGAGCACGTAGCTCTTGCCTTGGCGTGTCTGGGGCAGTGTGATGTAGTCAATCTGCCAGGCCTCCCCACACTTGTACTTGGACCACCGCCCACCATACCACAGGGGCTTCACCCGCTTGGCCTGTTTGATGGTAGCGCATGTCTCACAGTTGTGGATCACCTGAGAAATACTGTCCATGGCTAGATCCACCCCTCGGTCTCGTGCCCACTTATAAGTGGCATCTCTACCCTGATGGCCTGAGGCATCATGGGCCCATCGTGCTAGGAACAACTCTCCCTTCTGCTCCCCATTGAGATCTGTCTTTGACACCCCTATCTTTGCAGCCTGATCTACCTGCTGATTGTTTTGCTGCTCTTCATTAGCTCTGCTTCTGGGGACATGGGCATCTACATGGCGAACCTTCACAGGTAGCTTCTCTACCCGGGTAGCGATATCTTTCCACTCTTCAGCAGCCCAAATTGGTTTTCCTCTACGCTGCCAGTTAGCTTCTTTCCACCTCTCCAGCCACCCCCACAGAGCATTGGCTACCATCCATGAATCAGTGTAGAGGTAGAGCTTTGGCCACTTCTCCCTTTCTGCAATGTCTAGGGCCACTCAAACGGCTTGGAGTCCAACAAGCTGGCTTGATCCACCTTCTCCTTCAGTGGCCTCTGCACCCAGCATGTGGGACTCCATACAGCTGCTTTCTATTTCCAATTCATCCCTACGATGCGACAGGAACCGTCAGTGAATAGAGCGTAACGTGTTTCCTCTGCTGGCAGTTGGTTATATGGTGGAGCTTCTTCAGCCTGTGTCACTGGTTCTTCTTCATCTGTGACACCAAAACTTTCACCTTCGGGCCAATTTGTAATTACTTCCAAAATCCCAGGGCGATTCAGTTTACCAGTATGGGCGCACTGCGTGATGAGAGCAATCCACTTTCCTCTCTGCTGGGGCCAACTGGGGGAATGATCCTTTCACTGACAGCCACCACTGGTTCCTTCCCCCACCACACTGCAGGGTGGGGTGACATTGCACCCCGCAGCTCCCTACGGGCTTCCCAGCACATGCACAGGAAGGACTGGTGCCTTCAGCAGTTCCACTTTCATGGCCAGCAATTATTCCAACCAGGTCGCTCCTGCCCCTTTGCCTTCGCAGCACAAGAGGGACCATCGCTTCCTCCTCCTCCTCGTGTAGCGTGTGGATCGGCCCCGCTGCTGGGTCTCCCACTGCCTGCACCTGTTTTAATGATAAGATAGAAGTAGATATTCTACAGGTAAATCATCTTCCTGACCATTCTAAGTCAGCATCTGATTGAGGTTCTGTTTGACAACTAGCAGATTGCTAAGGGAACCTCTTGAGCTGTGTTTGTTCTCCTTCCTGCAAAGGGCCCTGCAGAGGACTACAAACACTGCCTTTTTTCTTTAAACAGAAAAAGCTTAATTGTTGCCACAGCTCTCTCCACTGAGAGCAACAGGCACAACTTTCCCAGGCATTGTTCTGGGGAAGGCGGTGAGAAGATCAGGGAAAGAATGAGAAACAATTCTTACCTTCACTTGCTGCACCTGTTGTTGTGAGCATGTGGAATGTGTTATAGAGATTTGTTTACCAAAGGGTGATTTCTTGATTGGCCACTGGTGATGGTGTTTGGATTCAGTTGACCAATCTGGTCAAAGTTGTATTGGACTGTTGGCAAGGGTGATGGGTTTTTCTTAAGAGTATAGAATAGTATAATATAATAAAGCAATTTATCAGCCTTCTGCAATCATGGAGTCAGTGCTAATTATTACCCAGTGAGGACCCATGCTACGATGGCCCAGCTCTCACTCACACTTATGTACATATTCTATCCACAGACTCTGCTCTTGAACTATTTATTTACTAACCCCATTTCCATAATTTTCCTTCAGACAAACAATTAATGAAGGCTTTTTGTATAAAAGCACATGGTTCAGTGATTCAACTGTGATAGTTCATGTACAAAGAAACCACTCTTCCTATCCCATTAAATTGTCATAATAATTGCTTCTCAACCTCACTGCTGAAGATACAGCAGCAAATACAGCCAGTTCATGTTTTCCTTCCAGGTATAAAGCAATTCCCATTTCCAGAAACATTCTACCAGTGTGGGTCCCTTCTCTGGGGCTATCAGGCTTCACATGGGAATCTTTGCAATGTGGGCAATGAGGCCCACAGGGAAACACCAACTACTCAGCCCTTTATCGTCGCGAAGCTCCAGCCGCACTGGTCCGGGGGGAGCTGACACCACCCGCGTCCCCACCGCCCCCGCATCGCCTCCGCCCGTGTCCGCCCCCGGTCCGCCCCGCCCGGCCCGCACACTGCGCACCCCCGGCCAGCCCCAGCTCTGCCGCTGCCCGCGCAGGCCCGCCCGCTCGGAAGGATGCGCCGCTCGGAAGGATGCGCCGCTCGGAAGGATGCGCCGCTCGGAAGGATGCGTTGCGCGTTCAGGTGGGCGCCCGGCGGGTGTGTGCCGGGACCTGGGGCTGGTCGCTGGGGCGGGCCGGGCGGTGCGGGGCCGTCCGTGGGGACGGGCCAGAGCTCGGGGGGAGGAGGAAGGGCGGTGCTGAGGTCCGCAGTTCTGCGCTCAGGTGGGGCGGGGCAGGGGCCACGGGATGCGCTGGGCCGGCCGGGCAGAGGGGCCGAAGGTGTCCGGAGCCGCCCTGCCCAAGCAGCTGCGGCGGGACCGGGGCCAGCGGAGCCGAGCCGGCGGCCCCGGCTGTGCTGCGGGGGCGGGACACGCGTGGGGCCGGGACACGCGTGGGGCCGGGACCGACGGCGCTCCTGTGCTCCCACCGCCCTGCTCCCAGCGCTCTCCTCTCGGCTGGGACCGCGGCGGCTCCTGCTCCTCCGCGCTGCTGCTCCCTGAAGGCAGTGCTGGGCTCCTGCGCTACTTCTTCCCCGAAAACCAGAGGCTGCAGAATTTGTCCGAGATGAACATCAGCCCCTGAAACGGCCTCGAATGACTGGGAAAGGAAGCGGGGACGGGAAAGGACTTCGGGAGACACCCACTGATGTGTCCCGTGTTGGAATGTGCCCGGCATCCCTTGTGGCTTTGCTCCACTGATAGCAGCAAGGCTCTGGCAGCGTGAGAGAGGTCATCTTTGGCATTTATTTAAATACTTGAGTACAAGGCATGGCATGTAAAAGGACCACTAAGTTTAAAATTTTTTTCCCTCAACTGTGGCAATTCAGGAGTTATGCCTGTGAAGTTGCTCTTGGGTAGAGCTGGTTGAACTTTCTTAATAGAGTGTTTTCAGTCAGCAAGTGTTGTGTAAAAGAAAGCATTTGTGGGAATTTTTCAGTGTCAGCAAAGCTTCGATTAGGAGCATCCCTGTTTTCCTGCCAGTTTGCTTGGCTCCATTGCTGCCTGCCTGGTGGGCTGCTGCAGAGCTGGGCCTCCAGCATTTCTGATTCTTGGTACTTTGACAGGCTGCTAGGAGAGATGCCTGGGGCTTCAGGGAGCTGGAGAGGGGGGACTAGAACTATCCACAGAATTTTGTTCACCTTATTCTTGAGTGTTATGAGAATATGACAAATGTGTATGTGGGAGAAAATAGTATCTAATGTTTTCCATTAGGATGGAAATCTGTTTCTTAGAAAAAGCTCCTGTTCCTTGTGATCAAAAATGCCATTTCTTGTTCAGGTCTATTTCTACTCCCAAATCAGTTAAAGCAGCTGGCATCTATCTAACTGCTGGACCATCTCTGTTGACACAATTGTTTTCTTAGGAATCACCTTTCTGCCGTTGATAAGGGTTTGAGCAAAGGAGGTGTCTGAAGCTAGTTAGAGCATAATTTCTACCACTGCAAAGTCCATTACCCAGTGGGAAGTGAAGACGGAATTGAGAGCATTCATAGGGTCTCTTGCCTGTGAAAACTTGAAAAGAGTTGGCTGTGAGAGCTGCTGTTCCAGAGTGAAATAATTAGTGCCCACCGTATGGGACCAGAATGAATTATTACTGTTTTACCTGCCAGTGTTCTGTGAATTCAAAAACTGCTGTCATGTGTCCTAGAATAATGACTGTGTATGTAATGTACTTTACGTTGCTAAATGTTTAACTGTATTTAATGTTAATTATTTTACTAACCATAGGAATTCTTAAAAAAAAATCCATGGCTTTAGTTTCTATTAGAACTGTTAAGCTCATATCCTTTATAGAAAACTCGCATTGCTAATCTTAAAATGCATAATTACAGGAAATTACATTCTGAACTATGTAGCTTCTCAACCCAAACTGGTTCTTTTTGTCATCAAGCTCTTATTCATATCTTTTCTAAAATTACAAATTAGGATTGCGTAATGTGCTGAAAAATCAGCTCATCTTCAAAGACATTATTGCTGATGTAAAAAAAAAAGTTTTGGCAGTAAGAAACAACTGTTCACTTCTGCCATTTTGTTAGGTTTTTTTGTTTGGACCTCTTAATTTATAGCTATGGGCATGTTATGTTCTTTGGTTTCAAACTGGGGCAGAAAAAGTGTGAAGTGCATTGCTTGAAACAGATTGTCCCATAGGGAAAGACCAGGGTGGGTTTGCTGCCTGTGTGAGGTTGTGGGGTTTGATGCCTCACAGAATTCATCGTGCTGTCACAGCTTTTTTTTGGTTTTCTTTTTCAGAACACTCCTTCATAGTGTGGTTGTAAAATAGCAACCCTTGTTGTCAAGCCATTCTGTTTAATGCTTTCATTTTTCTTCAGCCCCTGTAGAAAGACATTTCTGATACATGTCTGTGTGAAGGTTAAGCCTTTCTCCACTTCTGATGAGATAAAGCAATGGGAAAATTTAAGGTATTTGGCAATTTACTTGCAGCATGATCCATTATGTGTGTATATGTTGGTGATCCTGCTAACTCATCAAGGAAGTATGAAGTTAACAGTTTTTGTTTTTTGCCAGTGAGATTCTCATTTGCTTTTCAGTCTTACTTTGTAATACTGTTCAAGTTAATGTACTTTTTGAATTACTTTGGGAATGTCTAATAAAAGATAAGTTGCAATAATCTGTTTATTAAAAACAAACTCAAGTACACTTCTCCACCATTTTGCAGTTATTTTTATGAATGTACTGTAATTGGAGTTTGCATTTATTATTAAAATTATTGCAGTGTGACTCTTCAGTGTGCAGCTCATTAAAAACAGTGATTTAAATACAAAGTATAGTACCGTAAGGTATTTCTTTAGTTAAATTAAGAATTTCTGCAAAAAACAAAATTAAACCATACATCTAGTGAATTAAATTTTATATAAAAACTGAAGAAATAATCCCTAAACAATACTAATATATGTAATAATTAGCATATGGTAGTTTCAAATACATATACATTAGCATTCCAGATTGAAGTTCATCCAGTGTGAATTTGAGTGTGATTTAATATTGGGAAAGGGATTAACAGCCTGGTCTGCAGTTCCTTTCCCAGCTCCCTTCATAATTCAGCACACAGTGTTTCATACCTAGTGAAGGAAATGGTACATTTTCCTTTTTTGCATGTTTGTGTGATCTAAGGAACATTCCAATGGACTCTTCACAGAATGTGAAATAAAAAAGGCAGAAAGGGCAGCAATGTAACTTTTGACCCTAAATGGTCTCTCCTTACGTGCTTTGGTGCAAGTTGACAGTACAAAATACAGAACAGTGAAAAGTGAGGCCTCTTGGTAAATAGCCAGATTTTTAATTAGTTGGACTCTGGGTGATCTTCAGAGTTGTAAAAAGGAGTGTGATTGCAGCAAATGGCAGGAAAATATTGAAAAGTATGACTTGGCATTTTGGACACTAGGTGAGCTGAGGCTTCAAACTGCAGCTGTAAAAGTACATAGAGATCTTCCTTGGTTTAAATGGCAAGACCTAATTGACTTAGAAGCAACTGGTTTTAGTTGTTTTAACAAGGAGCAGATTTAATTGTTCTATAAAAGTTTTGGCATAGCTGAATGAAGACAGTTAAATGTTGTTAATTAACTGCACAATTGTGCATTGTATCTGATTTTAAAACATTCCAAGGGTCTTAAGCCCTGATGATGAAATTGTATCCTCACATGGAATACTGAACAAACCCTGCATCGCTTTTTAGACAGAAGTTCTCAATGATGGAATGTATCATTCAGTTCAGACCAATGTTTTGTAAACTACTGTGGAGGGAAGAGAATTAATTTTTTGATAGGTAGCATGTATTTTTGAGAGTGCCCTCTGATCTTTTTCATCTGTGCACAGCTTAATTTTTTCTAATGGTTTGAATTTCATGCAGCTTGACTTTCAAGTGCTAGAATACTGAACCTCTGAGACCTCTGAGAAAAGTGTAGGAGTGAATTTCTAGACTCCAAGGAAGTTGCTTTCAGATGTATTTTTGTTATCAGACAATTCTTAAAATTTATGATGAGAGGGTTTTTTTCAGAGGTAATTACAGAATATAAAGGTCTATTAATGTTGATAGAATTTGTCATGAAAGCATTCCAAACATCTTAGGAAATAAGTATCAGCCAAACAATTCCTCTTCATTCTAGAAATGTTAAATACAATCTGATTCTAGTAATTCTGGAAAATGGTAACTGCAAAGCCTGATGTTTGAGCAATCCTGTATTTTTCCCCCATAGGGCATTGTGGACCATTGTCTAACAGGAATGGTTCTCTCAGAACTGACTCAGGAAATGGATCTGGTAAGCATGTTTTTTTCCTTCTGCAAGGGATGCTGGTAAAGCCTTTCATGATAAATATTTCTTAGCCATTAAGGGATTAAAACGCATTTCTTCTCTGACAAAAATACATATAGACACAGGAAATTCAGTGCAGGGACTTATCCAGTACCGCACACATCAGTTCTCTCCTCACAGTCAGCAGAACTCATGAAGTAAAATGAACAATCAGTTGTATTTCTGCTTGTGAGTTTCTTTTGCCTGCATCTTAACCTAAGGAAGTGTTCAGTCCTGTCCATCCAGAAAGGGGAGCGACCTTGAAGGAAAAAAATTAGGCAAGTCAGGAACTTGATGAGACCTGCATTTAATGCTGGGCCACAGTTTTCATTTCTGGTGTCAAATGATTAATCTGCCAAATATCCATTTAGTTTTAGCAAGGAAGGAACATTGTTCTGTCCTTACTTTTCATAGGTTGATTATTCAAGACCTTCAGCAAAGCCTTGTAAAAGAGTTGCCTCATTTCGTGACACCTCTTTGAAGGACATACCGATGTTTGTGTGCTCTTTTGAAGGAGGTGAGGATTTTCATTATTGAACCTAAATTGCCCACCTAATTGCCCCTAATTTTTTCTGACTTGATGAATTCTGATCTTAAATGGATTATGTGGTACCCAATTAAGCTCCAGTGAACCAAAAAAGTTCAAAGACAAAAACTTCAGTCTTCTTTCTTCCACATTTCTCTTGCTGTCTCTCCATCTCTCTGCCATCTCTCTATGTCTTGCCATAAAATTTGGGCTATATAAATTCTGAGCTTGTCTCCTTTTTTTGTTTTTTCTTTTATTTAATTGTATCTCAGTTTTGCTGGGCCCTACCATCTCACTATTTGCTAAAATAATTATTTTGTTGAACTAGGAGAAACCAAGAGGAAAGACAAATTCTTGTGGTAAGGCAGCAGTGTCAAATCAGGCCAAGCTGTTTTTTCTCCTTGAGCAGTTCCTTCGTCCTCTCTGTAACATTTTGGGGTAATTAAGTTTGTAATCTCTCCAGAGCCTTGGCAGGAGGGGTGAAGGGCTTTCATTTGTGTGTTCCACAAGTGTAAACTTTATTACTTGTGAGTTCTGATTGCTGTTTTCTGTAGTATTACCTTTACTTTCATTATTTTGGTGAAAAAGTGCAGAGGAACTGCTGGTCAACAACTGGAAATTTAGCCTTTTTTTTAGACTAGAGCTTGGAATAGAAAAGGCTCTGGCTTTATAATTGTGCATACTAGAGTCTTCGTTTTGCAATGAGCTGGGGATTATTGTGAATGACCAATTTCTTGTAGCAAAAACTTTCTTAATCCTTGTGCATGTTTGATCCTGTTCTTTTCCATCCGCTAGCTAACACGTGAAAAATGACATGCAACTTAGAAGTGGAGAAAAAGCTTTACATTTTCTCCTTTGTTTCTTTCCTTCCTAATTTACCCTGGAGTTCTGTGGTGTTAGCTATCTTCCACTATTTTTTTATTAAAAGTGAAAGGTTTTAATATACAGATGAAGTAGCTGCTGACTTCTAACCAGTGGCTGTATATATCAGACCTGACAAAAAGTGAGAAATAATTTTTTTAATTGCCAGGGAATTTGGATTTCAAGGAATAGATAGCAGAAGAACTAGTGAGATTAAGTAAAGGAATATTCCTTTTAAAAAATTAATTAAATTTTCTTGGCTGACACAGACTGAAATTGATTCTTTGAACTCAATCCTGATAATATGGAAATATTTACCAGGCAAGGATTTAGGGCAGAAAAATCATTGTTTCAGATTTTTCTGTTTTAGGACAGACAGAAGTGGAGGGACGGGGGAGTGAGGGTGATACTGCATTTTATGGTCCGTATGTAAATTTGTTTCTAAGTACGAGAGCTTCAGTGTCCAGGGAACCCAAAATGCTCTTCTGTACCTGCAGTTTGAGACTCCTGTTTCTCAGACTTCTGTTACTTTCAGTATGAAAGGGATGCTCCAAGACAAAAAAGCCAAAGCACTTTAACAAATTCACCATGGTATAACACACATCTGAGGAAATTTCAAATGACAAAGTAATTAGAAAAACATTGTGTTGATGCTTATGTTTAACCATGGACAATTATCATAATTAGCATCTAAATAAAATGAAATCTTGTCGCTGATATTGGAGACAGGCATGTGACAAGAGCGCCAAGAGCGCACTGAGCTCAGGCGGCCGGGGTTCATTGGTGGGCGCTCCCTTTTAGAGGGGCTTTCGATTTCCCACACTCATGCACTTGATGGTTGGGGTCTTAGCTGCACCCAGCTCGCTGGCCAAGGGAATGGGTGCATTAATGGTTCAAAGGCTTTGGCCAGGGTCCCCTGCTTGAGTTTGAATCCAGCCTATCATCGTCTCACCTGGGCACTTGTTCACTTCTGTTCCCTAAAGAGCTGGGCTGGTCCGGTCCGTGTCTGCTGGGGCCAAACTATCTATGCAGCTTACAGACCAGCTGCAGCTGTCACAAAATCTTAGAAGAACTTTAAAGTTGGGTAAACAAAAATAGTTGATGGGTTCCTAAAGAGATTGGCTGCGGCAATATATTTTAATTTCAAAATTCTTCCTGAAAATGTTTGTGTCATAAAGTTTTCCAGATAGTTTCTTTGATGGATGCTCAGTTACTCCAGTATAAAAATGAAGAAGTAAAACTGGCAGTTCTGTGGTTCTTGGATCAGAGTGTGAAAGCGCAGCTTCAGCACAGCTGAAAGGTAAATACTTGTTGTAAACCACAACATTTGAACTCTAACAGTCTGTGCAGAAACGAACCTGCCAATATATGTTACCCATAAAAGCTCTTGAGCTCAGCTGAGGGAAAATGACTGGATGGAGAGAGAGGGAACCACTTATTGTTCATCTAATCAGTCTTCTGTCACAATCCGCTAGTACAAGCAGGGTTCATGATGGTTCATTTTACCAATCTCGGAGTGCAAAAGGCATGCAGCAAAGGGGACTTTCAGTTATTTTGTGAAGGGACCAGAAAACTACTACAGGGAGATATAGACTTAATTTACACAAACAGACAGCTTTTGCTGTGTCTTCCTTCGCTTCCCTGTGTGGGTGAAGAGACCGAAGCTGCTTGGGAGGTACTCCTTGAGTATAAATTTCTGGTTGTCTTTTTGCTATGCTCAGCAGTCAAAATTCATACACACAACAAAAACAAAACAGTCACGCCCTTTGCACTAGGAGATCCTTTGTGAATTTCTGAAAACAGAGCCTTGAAATGAGTGTGGGTGCTTTTTCACCTAGGTGTGTGCAGTTTGGGGGAAATTTGAGTCACCCCCTGTCACCCTTGCGCCAAGAATGACACAAGAACAGATGAGGATGCAGCATAAAAAGGAAGAAAAGAAGGCCTTTATGGAAAGGAAACTTTGGCTTAAATAGACCAATACAATACATTCTATTTGATTGGTTAATTAATAAAAACATCTTTCTCACACACTGTCCCTGAGAGGAACAGAAAAGCAAGGTGAAAAAGCACCACCAGCAGATTGTTTAGACTAACAAGTTATCACATTCCTACAAGTCCCTAAAAATTCTCACAAGCCACTGTGAGAAAAGATTGCTGTTTCTCTCTCCCTGCCCAGGCTGGCATCCACAACCCCCCTGGCTTTCTAGACACCGTTCACTCTTTTGGAGTGGCGGGCTAGGTGCAGCTGGAGTGAAACTTCCTTCCCCTGTTACAGACTACACAGAATCTGCACTCCTTCTGTCTAGCAGAAATCTCTGTCTGTCATGCCAATTTAATGTCATGATCCGCTAGTATAAGCGGGGTCGTGATGGTTCGTTTTACTGATCTCAGAGTGCAAAAGACACACAGCAAAGGCAACTTACAGTTTAATCACAGCAGTGCACTTTTATTGAGTGCCAGCAACAACAATTATGCAACAGAGGAAAGAGAGAGATATAAAGAAAACAAAGTAAAGGAGAGAGAGATAAGGGGGGTGGGGAGTACAGCTACCAATGGAGAGATGAAATCCTTGTGGTCCAGCCAATAGATTCGTCTTCATTCTCTGGGAAATCGCCAAAGTTACCTCAGAAAGTTCCTTTATTTTATAGTCTTTCTCTAAAGCAAGTGGCATCTGGTCAAGAGGTGGGGAAATCCATAGGCTATTGTGATGAGGCCTGTTGCTCCGTGAAGCAGTTGTACGCGTACAGATCCTGTACAGCTGCTCCTTGCCAGGCCCTGATCGCAGCAGTGTACCATGGTGGCACAACAAGCACACCTGCAAACAATCACTTGGCAAGCATCCACCTCAACCAGGCCAGAACTCCAGTAAGGGTCTGCAGGGTCTTAGTCTATGTCCTTGCAATGAGCATGAGGCAAATGAGGGAAATTTCAGACCATCTCTTACAGCTTCCTACCATGTATGCTTTGGAGTATTGGCATGCAAGGAGTTAATATTTTAGTAGCAATGTTCATTAAACAATTTTAGGTTACTTTGCATTTCAATTTTTATTTCAAACATTTAGCTGGGTTCTGCTATATTGTGTTATATTTCACAGCTGGGTACACAAGATTTATTCTTTTAATAGTTCTGTTCTTTTGACAGTTATTCATTTATGTGGTTTCCACTGTATTTCTCACATTACTTGGCTTTTCTGCATTTTAAATACAGAGAAGGAAAAGTAAGATGCATTTTTGAAGAAGCAGCAGTTAATTCACCTTAACTGTAGGGGACAGTCATAATGTAGATGTTATAAAGAGAATGTCAGTAAGATTAGATCAATTGATCTTGAGAAAGAATTCTGTTGGAGCCTCAAGCAAATCTTTAGCAAGAATTGTGACAGTGACTGAGGTTTGGCTTCACTTGTGTAGCACAACTTCCTTGCTTTCTGTCAAGGAAGGTCCCAATCTCCAGAATATTTTTACCTCTTCAGATTTGAAATGTGCTTCAACTTTCTCACTTACTATTAAAAACAAAGTTTTGTACTATACTGAATTACTTTTCCATTAAAGCAATGTGTTCCTTTCAGTTGTCAAAGCTGACTTGTTCTTTTAAAAGGTGGACTTCTCTAATGCTAAGGAACAGGAGGTACCCCATAAAATTGTAGTAGTGCTCCAGGTATTTTCGTGAGCAAAATTCCTACTGATAGCACTTCAAAGGCTCTACAGTAGTTGTCATTCTGATCTGTAATTTCTCTTTATAATAATATTCTTTTATTTGTTCCTAAATAATTTTATTATACCATTGTAATTACTATCTTCTCTTTATCCGATGTTGAGGGTTTCTGTTTCACCTGTTATCCTGACTGATGGTGGTGTAACTGCCTGAAGAGGCCCCATCACTGTACAATGTGTTCTGAGGGGTTGGGTAGGAGATTGTATCCCAAGTTTTTTATATGCATCCTTAGTGAGAGCTGGAGGAAGTGTTTGTGTGTGTATGGAGCAGCAGGCAAAAATGGACAGTGCATTATTTATATTTAAGCACCTAGAGCTTTGTTATCAGTAGGAAAAATGTCCAAGCTGACCCTTTGCCAGCTCAGCAGTGTGCTGTGAGTGACCACAAGCCTGGCTGTGCCACTGCACTGTGTAGGGAGGGTGAAATAGTTAATTACTGAGGAAAATGCTGGCTAATGTTTCCAACTGATTTATTGTTGAACACTTGGAACAGAAAGAAATAAACTGTACTATAAGGATGGGTTGAAACACTGTAGGGTAAATTTAAGAAAACAGTTTTGTGTTGATTCATTGTCTCTCTTTTTTCCCCCACCCCATCAGTGGACGTGAATCAAACTGGTGATAAATCATATTTCATACACTGCTTTTGCCCCTGGCATGTGCTCCTATGGAACCAGGCTGGGACAGAAGTTCTTCAAGGGTCTCCAGGTGTGTGACCATTCAAAGGATGTTCCTGAATTCCAGCCCCACTCTTGACCCCTAAAGTTCATTGCAAATGCAGTTTCAAAGTTATTTATTTTTCAGTGGTTTGATTACATTATTTACCAGTATCCTTTAGTTCACAGTCAAATTTTTTTTTTGTTCTATCAGGCATGGTACAGGAGGCCTTCATCTGCATGGGTAGATTCCCGTGGTCTGGAGCACAGTATTTGCCAGCTTGTGTAACAAATGCTGTGTGTGATGGCAACTCATCTCCCTGTTTTGGTACTTTTGTAAACATTTACAATCAGGCAGGCTGAGTGCACTCTGCAGCTCAGAGGCAGCAGAAGGCAGCACTGGGTGCTGCCATGCTGGTGCTGCTGTAGCAGCTCGGAGAGCAGCAGATGGCACGCTGCCCCCACGGCTGTAAATCCTCACATACGGGTCCTGCTGGCAGCTCTCTGCAAACTGGCAAGAAACAGGCTCACACTTGGAAGCAGAAAATTCAGGCATACATCAAATGACTAAGTTAATACACATGTATATAAATCTTCAGGATTGCTTGGATTGCTTTATTTACAGAATGGATAATGGAAATTTTGCATGCTTCAGCCATGTTGTAATGATTTTCTTTGCTCGTATGCTTGCATACCGACAAACAGAAAATGGTTAGACAATGGTGAAGAGTCTAATGGAAATGTAGAACAAGTCTTCTATATAAATATACAAATGTTGTTCAATAATGAACTCATATTCTTAAGCATGTGCATATAATAAAAGCAAACTCATTGCAGGAAAAGAGAAGTGGCTAGGTAAATTAATGCATTCTTATTAACCAGCCCGCTGGGGCTTATTGTCTGGGGAAGGAGAGCAAAACCTTGGAGATTTCTTCCATGATGCTGTGATACACTTTTAGTGCCATAACTATTTCAATACAAAAATGATTCATTAAGATTGACTGGCTTTAGAATAGACAGACCTTTGAGTGAATATATATATATTATATTTCTGTTGAATACTGGACTGGACTCTCTGGTACTGTACAGGACTGTTAATACTGCTCTATCTATTATCTATCCGTAAATATTTTGTTTTATTGCTGGCATGACTTAGTTTTCAGAGTGTCACTGCTTTGTGGTGTATTGCTGTTTTGGATGCTGGCAGGGTAGGAGGAAGAAAGTTGTCTGGAAAAGTAGTGCTGCTAAGCAGACATTTGTCCTCAGAGAGGGAAAAAGCAAAAGGAAGAGTTTGTAGCCTTCCCTGGAGCAGTTCAGTGCGCAGCTATTCCCAGTTCCCCTCAGACAGGCCTATGGGGTGGGCAGGGTTTGGCTGGGACTGCCCCTAACTGTCCATAAGATATTGCTGAGGGTCAATAAAAGTGGTAAGTCTTGCCCATTAATGTATCAAAGGAAATGCAACTGAGTGAAGGTAGTAGTTACTGAAATGTCTTCAATTCACGTAGAATCATGAACTTGAAACAAGCTTAAGGTGCCTTCATACTCGGGAATTCTGACTCTTGTAACAGTTCGGTTTCCACATGTACACTGTTACAGTGACTGTAAAAAAAAGAGATTGCGTTGGGTGAAGATTTTTCCCACAAAATTGCATTAGGAGTTATTTGGGAAGTGAAAAATAGTTCTAGTTCTTGGAAATGATAGGCATAGAGGCAGAAAGTTCTTTTTATTGTTAATTCCTTTGCATTTTGTTTTTCTGGGCGAATGCTTTTAGTCGTTGAATATTTTGTGATTGAAAGCAGAATGATTAGTGAGCAGTGCAGCGAGGAAGGAGCAGGCGAGGAGCTGCTGCGGCTGCCCGGTGCCGGTGCCGGTGGCGGTGCCGGTGCCGGTGCCGGTGCCGGTGCGGGTGCCGGTGCCGGTGCCGGTGGTGGCGGTGGCGGTGGCGGTGGCGGTGCCGGTGGCGGTGGCGGTGGCGGTGCCGGTGGCGGTGGCGGTGCCGGTGCCGGTGCCGGTGGCGGTGCCGGTGCCGGTGCCGGTGCCGGTGCCGGTGCCGGTGCCGGTGCCGGTGGCGGTGGCGGTGGCGGTGGCGGTGCCGGTGCCGGTGGCGGTGGCGGTGGCGGTGCCGGTGGCGGTACCAGTGCCGGTGCCGGTGGCGGTGCCGGTCCCGGTCCCGGTGCCGGTCCCGCCGGGCCCAGCGCGCGGCGCTGTCGGACCGGAGCTCGGCGGGCCGGGCCGCAGCCCCGCCGGGTGTCCGCGTGTGCGAGGAAGCGTTTGTTTGTCTGTTTGTTTTCCATTCAAACGCACCTAGGCGGGCTCTTTACTGTGAAGCTGTTCCCTGCTCGGATCTTTCTCAGCCAGCGGTAGCCCTGAATGTGTTCCGAGAAGTCCTGGCGTGGTTAATCCGTTCCGGGTACTGCAGCTTAAGGGAACCCTCTGGAAGTGAAGATCCCTGGCAAAGGGGTGTTTCAGCAAGACGTGATTTTATTTTGCCCCAGCTTTAAATAGCAGCGATGGGGAGCCAAGGTGGGAGAGCAGGAGTGAAAATCCTGGCTGCAGGGTTTCTGGGGAACAGCCTCACGTACACAAGGAGAGATACAGTCACTCACCTGGCACCGGAGGGGTCTCGGTCACACCGTCTGGGAAGCTGGGCTGTTAGACTGGGCAGATCTGTGCCATCATAAAAAAGTGTCTCAAGGGTTTAGAATTTAGACTACAGTGCATTTAGAGGGGAGGGGGAAAAAAAAGCTTTCTTGCTAGGTTGTGTTTGCAGCAGCTGAAAGCCAGACATGTAAAGTCAGGTGTCACCTAAGCACTGAACACAGGCTTGTCCTCTCATCTGGAAGGGGCATTCTCTTGACTTGTTATTTTGAGATTTCTTCAGTATGTGTATATCTCTTTGATTACATTGCCTGCAGACACAAAGCATGACCTAGCAAAAAAGAGAAATACACTTACTGTGTAGTGTGTGACCACTCTTCCTCTGTGCAATACGAGAGCAGAGATCTGCAGCAGTCCCACTGCCTTCAGTGGGATCATTGCGAGTGGAGGGGTTGAGCTGTGAGTGGCTCAGCAAAAGCTCTGGGCCCTGGCATCTCCATGATTAATGATATCTTAACCCTTATGGATGATTATCCTTTCCTGGCTGTAAAATACATACACTGTTTTATTTCATTACCACGAGGTGAAGATCCAACACTGACAGGTGCTGGGAATTAGCAGGCAGTTTTGAAATTGTTCTGTGCACTAGAAATTAGATCTCATTTTAATTCAGCTTTTCCAAACTAGTAAATGAGGTTAATGCCATACATATTCAGCTGATATGGATGAAGAAATTGATATAAAGTAGATCAACATAGCTACAGGGCTACTTTAATTTATACGTAAAGAGGCAGTGATAAATGAAAGTAATGTAGTAGTGGTCACTAAACTCCTCAGCCATCAGGGATTCAATAGTGTTAGCTGCTCATTAAAGACATGGTTGGGGTTACCTCAAATAGAAATTTGAAAAGAAATAGCCAACTAACCCTTAATTATCAAAACATAGAAAATACTAATTATGGCTTAATTAGCTTTTCTTTTAATGTACTGAAATTGTTACTTTTTGTGTAGCACAAATGGATAGTTATATCAACAATAAATAGGTTGTTTTAATAACTTTCTTTTACCTCTGGGAAAACCACACTCCAATTTTAATATGCAATAATGCTTCTCTCTAGCCTGTAGGAGATGAAAATTATTAAGTAGCTCTATTTTTTGAAGATCTTACAGCAGCTTTGGGAAGAATTATTTCACTATGCATCAATTATTTTTAATTGAACTGAATATAATTCAGATTGCATGAAATGCCTCTCATTTAAGTTTAACTTTTAGAGTTTGTTAAGGAAATATTACAGTGAGAATTGGATACAACTTATTTCTGTGGCATATTCTAGGAAGAATAAAAAACGGTTATTTCAGAAGAAAAATATTGTCACTGGTATTTTTCCGTTCATTGGACAAATTTCATTTTTGGTCTGTTTCATAGATCCCACTCTGTTCTTATCCAATCTCCCTGCAATTTACCCAGGAAAAGAAAATCGGGATTGGCTTTGGTGGGCCTGGGATCCTCTGGTGTTGATGGAAAGCTCCAGCACCTCTTGCACAATTCCTCTCCTCGTGAGGCAGCCAGAGCCTTCCCCTGTGGGTGTGTGGAGGAAGGAACAGCCCAGCACAACTGCCTGTGGTTTATCAGACACAGCAGGTTTGTGCTTTTCCAGCTACAGGATGGCAGGGAAGCACTGAGTAGTGCCCACCATGAAAAATCCAAATTCACTGAACAGCCCATGCTGAATTAAATAGAAGGTAAGTGTTAGTAATACAGAAGTCAAAATAAGTAATTCTTAGTAACAAAACCTTGGCAAACTTTAAATCATAATTTCTGTCCTTTAACTACTTCTGGAAATTTCTTTATTGAATTGCTCCATTACCTGGAAATTCTGTACAGCAAACATACTGTCAGGACATAGAGACAAACACTCAGAACTTCGTGGAATCATAAACACTGTGTTCTTCATTAGGTTGAGTTGTTAAGTGTTCTTCATTTTACATGTCCTCAATTCCATCATTTTTTATGTGGTTGTTTTATGTGTGAATTGATGCTTTTCTTCATGGACTGTACAGCACATTCCCTTCTGCCTTTGCTTGGGGAATTTTTATCCTGTTTTCTCTTTTCTCCAATTTTACATGATATAGTCCTGCCTTCCTCCTTCTATTTCAATGATGTTTAAAACATTCAAGTCCTTAAAACCTCCTTTTCTTTTTTTCGCCCCTGAATTGCAGTGTATTTGCTGTTCTGTCACTTACACCTTTGTCTCTCTCACTCATTACCTTTGGACTCCTTGCTCATGACAACTAAACCTGCATGATTCATTACAGAGATATTCTTCATTCATATGTTTGCAATTAAAGCACTGGTTTAAGTGCCACTCTATTTTATTTTAGAATTTTATAACATGAATCAGGCAATACTAACAATAAATAATAAACACAGTTCAGTTCTTCACTTGACTGTTGCTGAGCATTATTTTGTAGCTGCTAATAAAGGCACATTATCATGTTCAGGGATTGCAATTATCACTGAAATGTGTATGTCCATTAACTGCAACATTAGGCTGAGGGTATAATTACTGTCTAGAGCCAATATCTGTGTGAAGTTACGTCTATGATGCTATTAAGCTATAAGCAATATTTTAAAAATAATACTTAAACATTTCAGAATTGATTCCATCGCTTGCCGACTTAAAATCTAATCTTATTTCAACTCCAAATTATTGATGATTTAAGTGTTTGGCAAATAAACTATTGAGTTATTTAGATGTGAGTATAATTTGTGATGTGAGAGAGAATACTGTTTTTCTAATAGCAAGTGCCCAGCATGAACTGAGCTGGTGGCAGGAGGAGAGAGAAGCTGTGGTGACAACAAAATGCTGATAAAATAGTGGTACAGTGTGTCACAAAATGCTGCAAACAGGTTGAATTTTACTCAGAGTTACTTTTCAGACAATTTAGTACAGCAATTTAACAACATAGAATCCTGCTGCATGCTTAAAGGACAAGAAGGAAAATGCTTTCCTAATAATATCAAAAGTGTGTTTTGAAGAGGAATGAGGTTGAGTTTGTTCATTGATTTGCTTTCAGAAAATTCTAGTGTTTCTGCTGGCAGAACATTAAACTGCCTGTGAAATATGGTGGATAGTTCATTTGCAAAACTAATCTAAGTCACGAGTCACTAATTCCACATGTGGAGATGTTTGCATCTGTAACGAAGTGAACTTTTGATATATTTTGATTTATATATAAAATATGCATAGTAGTAATTGACTTTTAAGTGCTTGTGTAGATTAATATTTTGTTGTATTTCGTTGGCATGTGAGTGATAGCCACCCCTTTGGTTAATTTCGTTACCTGAATCAGGAATGGATAGTTTGGGAATGCTGTTTAGCAGTAAAAGTTAAAAGAATCAGTCTTTCAGCATTTTACATCTTATTTTAAATGCAAGTGCATTTCAGATTTTTGTAGGACAGAGGAACTATTGCATTGCTTAATGATGTTTTTCTGGTACAGATAGACCCTAATAGAACTCCTGTTTCTGCTTTACAGCAGTTGTTTTGGATTCAGCTTTCACATGTGTCTGCTTTGTGGCTTTCCAGCCTCTGCTCTGTCTTTGATGGCTAGACTTGGTTGTTCTGACACTGTTTATGTTTGCTGCCCACATCACTAAATATGACTTTCTATTTATAAAATTGTTTGCATTTTTATGTTGATTATGCTCTTTGTTTCAAAATTCACATATTTCACTTCAAGCAGATTCTCTTCTCTGGGTAACCTCTAACTGCTGGACTGTTTCACTTGTGCTGCATTTTCCAAAACCAGCTTAGCAAGAAGGAATAAGTAGCAAATAAGGCATCTTGGGGAAAAAAAAAACAACCCCAGCAGCCCAGGCTGACTTGACTTACTCATCTAAAATATACTGGTTTCGTTGCTGTACATTGGTCTTGTATCTTTATTATTAAAGAACCTTAATGAATTAATTTAACAGGCCTTGCAGTAAGTAAATTAACCACCAGAGTTCAGAGCAGAGTGAATAATTTTTTAATATTAGACAGCAACAATTTTTATGATTCAAGTTAATTATTAAATTGCTTATTGCATATTTTTGTAATTCAAAGATAAAAATCATGCAAAGAACAATCCAGTAAAATCCCAGGAGGTTAGAAAATTCTTGTTGATACTGAGTGAGTTATCTACCTGCGTCCTGGGTTTGTGGTGTGCACTGTCCAGCACTGCTGAAAGGGTGGTTGCGTGATTTTACCTGATCAGTTGTTAACCTTTCCTTCAAAATTACTAATGAATTGAATTTAGTTACCAGCAATTAGTGTATTACAAAAACAGTCTTCTGGATGATCTTCTAGATTTTCCTTTAGAACAATGTTGTCAGTTTAGATTTATAAAGGGGAATATGTTTTTGTCTGGCAGCATTCTTAAACAGGAATTGTTCCACAGCACTAACTTCGGTTCATTAATTTTTTTTTTTTTCCTGAGAAAATACTTGCTACCTAAGTAGCAATCTTCCCAGGTAGCTTCATGCACTGATGATTTCTATTCTTACATGTGAAACAAAAGTGAAATTGAGTAGATAAAGTGCAAACTTCCACCCTTTGTGACCTCAAGGTCAGTTGGTTTTTACCTTACAAAAAAGTGAGTGTTAAACACAGCATGGAAACTGTCCATCAGTTGGGGCTTTTTGGTATAGTTGCAAGTTTTGGGTTAATCCAGAATTGCAAAGGAGATGCAGTTCCTCCTTTTAGCTTTTACTCTCATATCAATACTCCTGTTTTTTTAAATTATATAGGATTGGTCATTTTGTATTCCTATTATGGTCTATTAATTGTTTTTTTCATGCTTTTTAGGGTTATTTACAAGTAACTGTGTGGAAAGAGCAGTGTTCAAGTGTTCATGGAGCAGCATGTACAGAAACCTTTGTGGCTTTTGTTAAGCTGTTGTCACCTGACCAGCAATGCATCGCTTCCACTCCAGAGGAGAGAGTCAGTGGAGCCGAGCTCCTAAGGACTCTTTTCTTCAGAGCAGCAGTCATGTCCAGTACATAGGATGAGAAACCTTTTAGGATTTGAGGTAGAAATGAGGCTTCAGTTACTTCCTCTGTTTTGCAGTGCCTTTGATCTGGAAACTTTCCAGATGCATGAAGTAATCAGATTTCTCAATCAAATTAATTTTTTTTAAAATTTGGTCTACCCTTGCCTTCACATGACTTATGTACACACTGTCTGGGAGTGTCAGATGGAGAAAACATCCACATCACTGTGAAATGCTTCATGGTGAATAAAGAGAAGAAACTCCTCTAAGGCAGATAAGATGTCACACTTACTTCCTCCCTTTTCCACCTGTGTGACAATAACTGTACCAGGAGAGGTCTGCACAGAAATCTGTGCAGAAACTGCATTTGCTCAGTTAAGGACAGAGCCTCCAGTAAGCACTTCTGGTTTTATTTGGGTGGCAGTTCGTGGCTCATCTGAACATTTTGATAATACTTGCACTCTGATTTCTTTTTTTTCCCCCTTTTCTTCTACATATTTGAACCATTTGTACTTTTCATCCCATTTTATAGTAGCATGAGGAAAAGCTGTAAGACATTTCCAAATATCAAGTTTAACTAAGAAACTACTTTAAAAATAATAAAATACAAAGGCTACTTTTGCTTATGTGATTGACTCTGGTGTTGAGAAGCCAAAGAGCACACAGGTATGGTGTTAGAGGGTACCAGATGGTGTTTCTTCTCCAGGAAAAGGAAAATGCCTCTTTATTGTTTCCCCTTTTTTTGTGTTGCATGAGAAATGAGCATCTTTCTATGAGATCATGTGGCAAACCAACCTACCTTGGGTTATTCTTCTCCTCAGGGAATATTTGGCTTGTCACCTGCAGTTCTAGGAGCCCTCATAAAGACCCAGGTGAGAGATCAGCGCTGTCAGGATCTTTCCATCCAGGTAAGGTGAGCCATGAGAGATGAGCAGCTTCCCTTTAGGAATCTACAGTAGGGCTGGTACAGATATTTTGAAGAAATCTGATTCTTCAGAAGCTTTCAAGCTGTTGATGATAGCTTATTTTTTCAAGGCCAAGCTGCTTAGGCTAGAAGGTCTTCAAGGTGTTAGAGACTTATTCTAACTGCACAGGCTTTGCAGCTGCCTTCAGTTTATACAGCCCCCTGCAGAAGTTATTTCTGAGTGTCATGGCACCGTGGCTGAATTTAGTGCAGTATCAGAACTACTTTGTAAAGTTGCCAGCACCCTTGGAAGCTCAGATGATTTTCTGAACTGCTGGGATTTTAAGGAAATTCATATTTTGAAAAATAAATCTAATAATTAGTATTTATTAGTAATTGTGGTGATCCTTTTAAAAACAGTTTTATTTGTACATGCTGTGAATGCCTTTATTTGTTTCCTTTACAAATAAATAAATTCATCAGTCCCATCTGTTGGGAAGCACGGGCTGTGTGAGAGGCAGCAGAGTCAGCAGAGGGAGCACAAGGAAACGAGCAGGACTGTGCTGTGTGCGAAGGACTGGGGTGGGAGTGCTTCTGCTGAACATGCAGTGAATAATCAGATACCTGTTTGGTATTGTATAAAGATTTCATCTCAGGAACACTTCCAGGCTGCCACCACGAATACTTAGATGGTGAATAATATGAAGTTATTTCTAGAGGTGCATAAACCTGTCAAGTGGGACTGATCTGTGATGTGAGGAGTTGTTTCTGTCTCCAACCCTGAATTACATTTTGCTGTTCAACTTTGTTTTAGTTAGTGTTTTGCTCTCCTGCTGTGCCAATAAGCAAATACTTGTGCACAAACATCCCTCCTGATCACTTCTGGAGGGCCAGGAGGGGAAGCAGGTGGGTGGAGGCTGCTTGTGCTGCAGTTTCTACACACATGTTGGTGGCATTAAGCTTCCTGCTTGCCTTGGCACTCCTTAGGCCCAAAACAAGGGAGAAGATATTTTTGAGAAATACATGTTTCATTTTTAAGCATGCTTAACCTTAATAGTTATGACAAATTTTTAAAATATGTGCATTTGAGACAGCATTAATAATTCACATATTTTTCATTAAGAAAAAGAACAAACTGTCTATAGGGCCATTAAATTCTTACTTGGCTAAGATCATCAACATTTAGATGACCTAAAATGGTACCTTGTTTGGGTCATAATATGCCACTTGAAAAAAAATACCCTGTGATTTAGTTTTGATTCTGACAATACTCAAAAGGATTTGTTATGTCTTACTGACCTCTCTGCAAACTACTAATGGGATGAACACAATATATCACTTTTATAATAGTGAGCTATTAAAGGCACACATAAAGCAGTCTGAAGCCCATAAGTGCTGCCAACAGCTTCTGCTTTAATGAATTCCCTTTTAGATGTCCATTAAATGCTCATGGCAAATGTACTCATAATGGAAATGGCAAATCTAAATGGGTAGATATGAATAATCCATGGAGTTTAAATTCTGTTTATGATCATCTTCACATTTAGTTTTCAAGACAACGCAGTTTAGTTTTCATTACAGTTTGGAATAAAGAGGACAGGGAGTAATTGATTGCTTCAAGCAGATTAAAATCAATGCGTTGCTTTTCAAAGAACCCATGGAACGCAGTAATTTCAACTTTAAACGTTGATTTAGGGAACTCAACACAAAATGTTTTGTGCTGTGTGAACTTTTATGTAGAAAGACTAATACTAATTTTATTTCTATATATCTGTATATAGAAATATATAGAGGTTGTTATCAGTATGTGCATGAGTAAACAGTGATCTATAGTAAGTTATTTTGGTATTATTGCACTCATGTAGTGAATCAATGAGATTCCCGTCATCATTGGGATACTGTTTGTAAACCATTAGCACACAGAAATTACAACCCATCATACATCATTACTGTGATTGAGGCTTTATTACCATATTCTCAAATTGCTTGCTTGCTATAAAACTAAATAGACACCAGACAACTATAGGTAGACGATAGACTGTGCCTTATTGGGCTGGACTAATGAAGGATTATTGTAGCATAATGGGGCACAACTTACGAGGAAAATAAACTTGGCAGCAAAGGAAAGCTTGAGTGTTTTTATTGTTTGTTGTTACTGCTTTAAAGGTCAAATATATTTGTTATGATCGAGTTACTGTTTCCTTATTTCATGAATCATTCATTTTTTGAGTTCTGCATAGGCCTTGTTTTATATTTAAGCATTTAAAACACAGGAACTTCACTGTGCCTTTCAGCTCCAGAGGTGGATCTACAGCTTTGGGGGAGTGGTGTGGTTGTCGTGGTGCTGGGATGAGGGAGAGCACGAACCTCTGCACACATTGGTTTTGTGCTGGACAGGGGCAGGGAAGAAGAACTGCATCAACAGACATCAGCTGTTAAATGTGATATAAGTTCTCCAAACACATGGAGGTAAAGTATCAATTAGGAATTTTGAGAGCTATATTGAAAGGATTTATGATACCTTCATTATAAAAGATGAGAGGGCACACTGAATTTCAACTTGGGGAATTTAGCAATCTCTTGTGACAGAACCAAGGGCTTTACAGTATGCACAGGATATATTCAAGGTGTTACTTTCTCCAGCTACAGAAAAAAAAGTATTTTAGAAAATTGAATTTAGGGCTTCTGACCATGAGACATGTAAAGAGGGAAGCATTTCTTCATACTCTTGTGAGATTTCAGAGATGGGTTCTGAAAGAGAAAAAGACATAACAGTCTGTTATGGTGGCAAAGAGGTGTCAACATTCTTCATCCTTTTTACTTGCCTCCTCAAAAGGATACCTTCATACCCTTCTGAATTTGTGCTGTCTGTGCCATCTTTCAACAATATTTGCTTCTGCTCTACTAGAGTTTTTAGAATATTACAGAAAAATGTGGTAAGCTCCATATTTTAGTAAGACAGGAACATGTTGTTTCTGCCAGTTATGTTTAGCTGAATTTTCGAATGAGCAAGGGTTGTAAACCTTTGGGTGCTGAGGTGTTGGGAGAGCAGACACCTTAAGGCTTGGCTACCTACAGGCATAGATTGCTGGAAAAGGTAACAGACAGTGCTAAAACTTCTGTAAATTATTAAAATATTTCTGTGAGTTGATGTATTGCTATGTACCTGACAATTCCAGTTTTATTAATAATGATATTCCATATTTTTTGCATGAAAGCTTCTGGAGTTCTTAATGGGGACTAGTGAAACCATACCAGGATAGAGTACTCAGTTGCTGAGAGGCAGTGAACAACTTGATGTGCATTCACTTTTGCCAGGGGTTTTGGAAACACATGCTTTTTAATAAAGTACATTTGACATTTCTTTGGCTTCCATTTGGCATGAATTCACATTTCATTTCAGTTCTGAAAGTAGAGGCAATGTCTCTAAACCACAACACATCATTATGCACCAGTCCAAATAGGAGGTAAGGATAGGGGAGGAAATGATTGTTGGGTTGTATTTTATACATGCTTGACAATACATATGTATTGTTTTTTACTAGGATATGTACAATAAGAGCATTCTAGGTTGAGAAATGGTCAAAACATTGCCGATATGCAATCTAGACACAAAATACTGCTTCTCACGAGTAGAATGCGTCAGACCTGGAAAACTCGCAGGGCTTTTGTCTGAGTTTGCAGTGAGGCCCCTCTTGTGGGCTCCCAGCTCTGCAGAGTCCTGCCACAGCTGGGAACGCTCCTGCAGCTTCCCTCATTAGACAGGGAACTTCCTTGGCTCAAGGAAAAACCCTTTGAAGTGACAATGATGCTATAATGTACCCACAGAAGATTGTGTGGTTCCATTATCTCCATAATGGAGGCTGGTTTGGAGAGAGCTTCCCCTTTGTCCTTTCATCAGGAATTGGTTTGTTCAGTGCTCAATGAATCAGTTCTGATTTCTTCAAAGAGATGTCTGTCAGGGAGTCTGAGTATTCTGGAGTAATCATTGTTAGGCAATGTTCTTTTCTTGAGTTTAAGAGAGCTGTAATTATAAACATCTCACTATTTGGGTTTTTAATAGACATGATTGCCACAGCAAATGTGTTCAGCTGTTAGGTTTGAAGAATACATTTCTATTAGCTTTTAGGCAGATCTTTCATGTAGTTGCAGATAGTGTCTCTAACTTTATGATATGTCAATACCATTTTTCTATAATCATGCCGTCATAATAATGGTACCATTTATACATAAATATTTTAGAATGCTGCATGAAGTCATCCATTTTTATTTGTGTTAAATCTCTTCATGCATATTTGGTAATTCTTATATAGATGTGTTCTCATTTAATCAGTAGAAATTAGATAATTTGCTAATTTTTCAGAAATTGTGAAGTATGTTCAATCACTCTTTTTAATAAATTATTATGGTTTTAAATATTTTTTAAGACATTTCATTTGGAAGTATCACTCAGGTTTTGACTATTAGATTTAACACAACTGCATTTGGTTTGCTCATCAAAAGTGGAGAGCATTTAATATTTATTCATAACAAAAGTATTAGAGAAGCTGTCAATAAATTTTCTGTCATAATTGAATCATTGGATATCTAAATTGTTGATAATATGATCTGCTTGTTAAACAAAAGTGTCTGGAGAAAATGATGGATTAATTGACTGATGGCTAAGGTTTCTCTCAAATATAATGGTTTACCCAGTTTGATTTGATTTGTGTAAAATAACTTTCTCTAATAAACAATTTGCTCAGAGGCAATAGAAGAAATGAATGGTTATCAAACCAAACTTAATTAGTCTCTCCTAGATTGATATTACTTGGGGAGTCTTCGTTTTAATTGTGGAGAGCTGGATACAAAGAGTTTGGTTCATTATATTTTTCCTGTATAAACACTATTGCGTAACTACTTATGGAATATAACATGTAAATTCATTTTAATAAGTGCATGTAAAGTGGGTTAGCTAATTATGCCAGGCTAAAAATGATTCCTTTAATTATTTTACATATTTAACTAGTACTTCAATTTTATTATTGTTAGTCTGTAAACATAATTTGTATTAGCTCTGCCAAACTAATTAGAATATACAACTTAAACAGTTTTAATAGTTTTGTAATGCTCATAATGCACTCTTCTCTTAAAAATACATTTCTATTCTAGAAATATTCAAATAATAAAGACATTTTTGGCATAGAAAGATTTTTATATATGAGGAAGAATACCTTTTCCTCAAAAATACAGTTTCAGAAAAGTTAATGTGGTTTGAGACTCTGGAATATTTGAAGGAAATATCTGAAGAAAAACCTTTCTTTTCCTAAGAGATGTACTCAAACTAAACATAAATCATTGAGTAACATAATTTTGTGGGATTCCAGACTGTTTTGTTGTCCATGGATAAAACAAACCACAAGTACAGTTGCATTTCACCCTTTCAAAGGTTAAGCACAGCACATACTTAATTGTGTTAGTAGGTGAGAATCTGCATGTTCAGATTATGAAGAGTTGCTCTTAAAGGCTTCCAGTGAATTTAAGGTAAATAAAATTTACTCTTTTCTTTGAAAAAAAAGAATTTTCAAAACATCTGTAGAAGCTTTACAAGATTTTAATATAAAATGTACGTGAGAGGGCTGTTGTTTGAAACTGAGTAAATGTGGAAATCAAGACATTAGTGAAGAGTAATTTGGGTGTTCTTAGTGATATTCATTCATGATTAATCTTGGGTTTATAAACCCAGAAATTAATCTGGATTATTGTTTCTTCTCACACATTAAGTTTTGATTTTGACAATTTGTTGCTTTAGTTTTCCTTAGTGTAGGGAACTACAGAAAACTGAAAATGCAGGGGGAAATAAGGAACATCTTTTAGTTTCATCTGTGCAATCACTGAACGTAGGTATGCTCAGACTTGGGGACATGGAGCCTTCTGAGCATAAATTGATGCCGTGAGCCTGAGCTGACACATAGGTGACAGTGACAGGAGCCTACTGCAGACTGGCACATTGGGAGCATCTTTGGGAACAACACTGAGCAGAACCTCTGGTACTCTCGGGTAACGTGTTCTCAGGAGTTCTCTCCGAGACTCAGACACTTTGGTTTCATTATCTCCCCTCTGTCAGGCCAGCAGAACCCCCACTCTGTACAGGTGTCCTGCACTCCTCACTGCCATGGCTCTCCGGGACTTTCACCAGCGTTTGGGGAGCAAGACAGTAAGAAACATGGGAATGAGAGCTTTGGAATATAGTAGGTTGATGAAAATAAACTTAAACAGTAAAATAACAGTAACAGTAACAGTAAAGTTCTACAGTAAAGTTTTACAGGAACAGTAATATAAACTTAAACAGTAAAGTCCCTGGGCATTATTTATGTATCAACTTTATCAGTTAAATCTCAATGAAGTCACAGAGAGTCTCACAACCACCTTGAGGTTCCTCCAGCTGTGACTCAGCGGTGCAGCAGAGAGGCCACGTGGCCACCTAACCAAATCCAGATGTCAGATTCTGCTGAAAACACTGAGAGCACGAGGGCATCTCCGTTCCTGCCTGGGGTGCAGGGAGGGCGTAGTAAATGTCATTATTAAACACTCATTGATTTACACATAAAATCCAGTGATGCTGAGGTAGGGATCATAATCCCTCTCCTGATTAGTTGTGGCAAGAACACCATGGAGAAAAGTGTAGCAAGATTGTGTGGCAGTTCCAACTAAATGTGTTATTTTAACGATTCTTAGCAATGATTTATTTTCCTTGGTAATCTATAATATGTTCCTTTACAAGTCATTATTTCATTAGGCAATTTTACTCATTCTGAAATAAAAAAAAAACCCAAACCTTTATTTACAAATTTTCGCCTTACAGCCAGGAAATAAGGATTCTTTGACTTTTGCAAGCCTTTATGAGACTCAAGGTAGTTAGTGATTTTTAATATAGAAGAAAACAAGTATAGGGCACAAAAAAAATTTTAGTTGGATCAGAAATGCAAGGTTTATCCTAAAGCATTTACAAGTTGGTATCTGAATTGAAGTATTTAAGAAATATTAAACAGTGTACAAGCGAACAGAGGAAGTGATTTTGAAATATTTAAAATTCTTAGGAAAAAGCACAAAAATAATATATGTTAAAATTATATTAAACATTTATAATGTTAAATCTTAAAGCAAAGGTAAGCACAATTTTCAGATCAAGTTTTGAAGTTGTAATATTACAGAGATATGTGTAATGTGTTTCACTGAGGTCATGTTATTCTGAACTGGGATGTTTCACTTCACTGACTGACATGTTCCTATGGTGTGATTCATGCTGAATCTTTGTAATCTCTATTGATATCCAAACACACTGTGCTTTGTTAGATTGCCATGTACCAAATCTCATGTTGGTGTTACATTACCATTCCACTAAAATGTATAGCAAAAGTAGTGATGGTTATTTAATATTTTTATTCTGATTGTTTCAGCTACAGAGTTTCAACACACACTTAGGAGGAGTTGTGTTACTCATTGTGCTTCCCAAGGAGTATGTTATGGGAGCAGTACATTTCTCATTCAATATTTCAGGTAACCAATGCAAAAGTGTTCTCTGCATCCAGTTTTCTCTGTTACTGCACTATTGGGTTGTGGGCCTGGCTGACAGTTTGTCCTTGATATCTTATCTGCTTGACAAACCAAACAACTTGTTATTGTATTTTAGTCAAGGTCCTTCCTGGACCCTCCTCAAGACTCCCATCAAAGTCTTGTGGGAGCAAGGTAAAATTAAAAAAAAACCCCAAGAACAACAATGTTTGCATACAGCAAACAGCTCCTAATTTCTTTGTAGTAATTTTGATTTGAAAACCAACCAGATAGTTATTAATTAGAAGAGTAACAACTTTGGTTTTGCTGCATTTTGTGGGTTTTTTATAATCTGTGGTGGAAACTGACTGCATTTTGTTAATATTCCTAGCTTGATATTAAAGCCTATCACAGAATCACCATCCTCGTTCCTGCCACACCTCCTGGCACCTCTCAGTGCAGTAACTTTGATCTTTCTGTACACATGGCACAGCTCTGACAGAAGCCAGCCTTGAAACGGCCATTCAGAACCCCGGCAGTATAAAGAGATCCTTTCCTCACTCTAGCACCTGTGAATCTCTATTTATGCTCATGCATTCTAAATGAGAGCAATCTTTTGGAGGTCAATTGGCAAGGTGGGCCAAAACTTTAAAGGTAACCTGCTGGAATAAATTCCTTTGGTTAAACCAAACCAGTGTTTACGCTTGACTGTCTTGGTACTTTATTTGAGATCTACCTTTGTGGTTTATTCTATAGTTACTCGCAGGCTTCCAAACCCTACAGGTTTGGTTCTAACACTTGACGCTTTCATGCTCAGGATATTAGTAACTGTTAAGAAGGCTGAAGAAATCAGTTAGATTTAGGATTGTTCTTGGTAAGTTTATGAATTAACTAATATTGTCTGGTTGACTGGAGCAGCAGCAGTCTGGATAAAAAGCCCTGTGAAGCCTCTTACAGGGCTGTGTTCTGCATTCCTCTGTTCATGTCTCTATATATCCAACAGTTTAAAATGCTACATAGATGATTAGCAGTAAGTTGAGCTTGATTTAGAGGATCATTATGATGTCTTTTTGTTACCTGTATACTGACTTTGCATTCAGTAGCAGCTGTAAAAATAAACTTCTCTTCGTGGATGAAGTTCAGAACAGAATAAGAACAATCCTTGTAATACTTCAGTCATATAGTAAATGGCATTTGGGGATAAATAGAGGAGGAGACTGCAAGCTTTAATGGAAAAAGGATTTTTAAAAGGATTGTCTCAAGCATAGTACAATAACTCTTGAGATAAGGAAGGGGGTTAAAGATGCACAAGTGAAAGAGTGCGCTCTTACCTGTTGCCAAGTATTTTTTCATGTATGCATTACAGGTCTTTTTTGTAATGGTCAGTATTGCCCTTATTGTGTTCTATTTACATGTCTGACTTCTTGTTTGGATTTTACTTGGTGATTTGGTATTAATTTTTAATGTGAAAGCACTTAGCATTAGGAGTTTGACATTTTGTCTGACCTTAATCATCAAGAGGATCATGAGAGGTTTATTCAGTGGGAAGAGAATTGTTACAGCTCCGACAGAAATGATGGGAAATAAGTAAACAGCCTTTTAAATCTTCACCAGAAATCAATAGAGCTTAAAGATGATGGACGTTGGTGTTTTTTGCTGTTTAAGGACTTCAACCTTTTACGGGAAAATATCTTCTCAGAGTGTCAGCGTTTTTTTGCCCAGCACCATGAATCACTGCTGCAAATAGAACACTCTGCATAGAGCACTTGATCTTTGTTACACAGATGATGTTATAGATCTGTCTCTCTCTGATACTGCAGATGTTTATATTTTTACACATAGAGGTGTGGTGCTACTTCATAACATGGCTAATTAATGTATGGTCAGCAAAGTAATTATGTAATAAGTAATTATTTTTGATAGTACTTAAACTGACGAACTCCTGGTTTTATTCTATAATTAAAGTCTGCTATTTAGAACTTTTCCAGTTTTATATTCTTCCCTGTGTCTATAGAAATACCTTCCTTTAAGTGAGAGTTCTCAGCTTTTAGTAACTGGGAGTAAGAGTTCCTCTGAAGTCTTTGTGTCAGCAGGCCTTTCTGAGCCAGGCAGATTTTGAGCAGTAGCATAGCAAATTATGTACTTTGGCTTTTCATGAATGATTTATTAGATGTTAGGCTGATACAGTAGTTAGCAATATATGCAGAAAGAGCACTATTCAGACCCAAGTATTTGTACATTTGCATCATCATAAATCATTTGTTGTGCTATTTGGGGTTTTATTATATAGTATTGGATTCCATTTTAAAACAACTAAGTATACAGTAAATTATATTCAAATATAGTAAAGTTGCAGTTAAATAGTAATTGAGAACTTGACTTTCAAGCTTTCAGTTAATTTGTTTGCATCCTTATGCAGCCATTTACTCAGAATAAAGTGAAGAGGATTTAATTTTGATTTGTAGACAACCTTTTATATTTAAAATAACTGTAGTGACTGTAGTTTTATGCTAATATCTAAGCATGCCACATATACTCTTAGGCAAAATTGTCCCCTAAGACCTCGTGATATGAAGTGATCTTTGATTTAAGGCTGCAGCACTTTGGCTACAACTGTGTTCAATGATTATTAAAGCGGAGTTATTACAGAGCAGCTGATGGAATTTTTTCGGTAGTTTATCTCAATTGATTACTCGTATCGAGTACAGAGTGGCAAACATTTAAAGCAGTTCCTCGTGTTCCTGGCGCAGCAGCCAGGCCCTGCACTGCGCTGGGCTTGGAGCTGCCCTGGGATGCAGGGATGGAGCCGGGCGGGAATGGGGATAGAGCCGGGATAGAGCCGGGATGGACGCAGAGAATGGGGCAGGGAGCCCGAGGCTGGGATCCCCGGGGCGGAGGCTGGAGCCCTCCTGGAATCACCGGGGCTGTTCACCTGCAGGAAAGGGGGCTGCGTACATCCAGGCAGCGTTTGGTTGTTTCCTTAGCCAGCTAATGCATTGCAGGATGCCCAGCTTTGAGAACAGTGCCCAGAACAGAAGGAAAATCTTCCAAATAACACTGCTCTGTAGACATTTTCCTGCCTTTCATCTACTGTGTGGATTATGAGGGCAGTAGGTAATGTTGCTTTCACTTAACATAAAACTAAACTAGCAGAGATGGCAGGGATACTTCAGGACTGAAACCTTATTTTTGGATCACTTTGACGTCCTTACATACAAATATTCCTTTTAAATAAGTCAAATTACACAGCAAAGAAGCACAGAAGAGGGAAAGAAGCACATAATGCCCTCTCTTTACTTCTTGTTAAGTTGTTTAGTTGATCTGGGCCTAAATTTTCCACTGTTAAGCAGATTATTTTTGTTTACTTTGTTGTCAATTTTTATATAGTTAGAGATTTCTTCTCTGTGATGGCAGGCTGAAGTTTTGCCTTTACTTCTCTTTCATTGTTTTAAGAGGACAGACACAGACACCAGATGCTGGGTCAGAGACATTTCTTTCAGGGCCAGAAGTTTGGACTTCTTTGGAGGTTTTCCTGGGATAACAAGAACTTTTCTTCATTTTTCAGCCTTTAAGCATCATATAATTTTTGGCATTTTAATATTTGTCACGTACTAATTCTGAGTATGGATTTTCTTTAACAGCCTTTTCTTGATGATTTTGTATAGCTTTACTAAAGATAAAAAAGCTTTCTATGGATTGATTAACTAGTGAAGGCCACACTAGCAAGCTGTAAGCTTGATTTTTTCAATTTGTTGCTTTCCTTTTTCAACCCATTTATGAAGATTATATTGCCTAAAAAAGGTCGCTTCCTTTGGCCTGTCCCTTTGCAAATGTGAAGTAACTGTGTGGATGTTAATCCTCTCTGCTTTACCTTGGTTGCAGCTCCTAGAGAGAGTCCTTCAAAGCAGCAGGGATGTGCAGCAGGGCTGTAGACATATAATGGAGCCTTTCCTGGCTGTCTGGGGAGCCCTGGGAATGCGGGCTGGGATGGGACAGGATTGATCACCATGTGTGGAGGAGGGGACAGCTAAAATTGCTGGGCAGGTAAAAGAGCTTTTTAAATTAATGGTGTTGCCGGCCCAGGATCAAATGGATATGGCTATCAAACACCTTTGGTTAGAAATTCAAAACATACAGGCTCATCTAGAAGAGCCTCCCAGGAGGGGAATTATGGAGGCAAAATTATTAACGGATTTTGAAATTAAATTTGAGTGATTTATAAAAGGATTAAGGGACATGGTTGCCTGTATTGGTACAAACTGTATTCAGCATCCACAAGATTCCTTCTAGGTATTTTAGGTCTCTTTAGAGACTTTATCTATTCTTTAACATGATTGAATAATGTAGAAGTTAATTTTGCATTTCCCGTTTAAAATCTTGTGTTAATACTTGTGAATCTATGAACTTAGAGTATAACTGATGAGATTTCTGCCTCATTTTTCTATCTGAAAATTACCTCTAGATGACATGTTGTCCATCTGGAGAGCAAAGGAAGGTAGGACTCGTGCAGAAGGCAGTGGTGTCCCTGCCGATGGTGCAGCCTTGCTGATGTAGCTGGGGAGAGCAGCTGGTGGGTGCTGCTGCTCCTTCCGCTGCCTGGTTTCACTTCTGAGCCCACGGTGATTGCCATGTGCACAGCGAGTGCAGTGCGGAACTAAAAGAGGATTTTCCTGACCTGTGCTCTGTACTGTAAGTGAAACTGAGTTTGAGCAGGCTCTGCTGCTCTGCATGCACCCCGAGGCTCTCCGGGACATCCCCGCGCTGCCTTGGCTGCAGCTGAGCAGAGACAGCGCCAGACAAAGCTCTGAGCTCCCAGCACTGCCCTGCTCGCCCTTCTCTGGGATGCTGGGTGTGCATGTCGGGCTGCAGGGTGAGGCTGTGCACTCGCTGTGGTGCTGAGGCCCTTCTCTGGGATGCTGGGTGTGCACGTCAGGCTGCAGGGTGAGGCTGTGCAGTCACTGTGGTGCTGAGCCCCTTCTCTGGGATGCTGGGTGTGCACGTCGGGCTGCAGGGTGAGGCTGTGCACTCGCTGTGGTGCTGAGCCCCTTCTCTGGGATGCTGGGTGTGCACGTCGGGCTGCAGGGTGAGGCTGTGCAGTCACTGTGGTGCTGAGCGGGAAGCTCGCTCTGGTGGTTCACACTGCGACCTATGTGTGGAGTGTGCAAGAAGGTCCTACTTTTGCTGATCTTCGGGATAAAGTCACTGAACTGCTCATTTATGATGTCATGCTTATCTTCCCTTGCCTTGTAAGTGGTTTGTTACCGTAATTTTCAGATATCTTTAAAATTCCCGTCTCTTGTGCTTGCGTATCATTAATGAGACTCCTTTGCTGCATGTTTCAATTCAGTGTTGCAGAAGAAGGGACTGAAAATGGAACCAAGTGTTGATCCTTCCTCAATGGTAATTTTGTTGGATATTAATTGGTAACTTGTTTTGGATTGACACACAATTATTGATCCCTGGATTTAATAGAATAGAAGACGGGAAGCAAAAGCCAGCAGAAAGAACACGCAGAGCAGTAGAGCAGTGTGTTCTTTGAGCAAGCAGGGCCGTCACTCTGACATTGCCACCCAGAGTGACAGGGTGGGTGTCAGGGGTGGGTGTCACTGCCACCCAGAGTGACAGGGTGGGTGTCAGGGGTGGGTGTCACTGCCACCCTGAGTGACAGGGTGGTGTAGGGGTGCGTGTCAGCACCACGTGTGGTGCTGGAGGTCCCTCCTGTGTCAGGGAGCTGCTGGGATCACGCTGTACATCTTCATCAGCCAGGCAGGCACAGCAGCCTCGTATTCCCATGAGCTGTGGCCAGGCCATAATTAACCTTGTGAACTCGGATTTCCAACAGAATGTAAAATCAGCTCAGGTTATCAATTACAGTCACACTCCATTGATGGTTGCCAAGAAGAGCTTCTTAGGAAGAAAAAGACATTATGATTTGCTCATTTCTTCATAAAGTAGCAAAATACGTTATCATTCATTAAATCATAAATCTAAATAATAGCTAGTCCATAGATTTAATATCACCTTACTTTGGTGCATTACTCACAGGTTATGGGCCAGTACCATGTCTGTTATTAGCAAAGCTCACAAGTAATTTTGCTATAAAACGGAATTAGGAAATGTTTTATAAAAAGAAATTACTACCCTTTAAAATAAGGCAATTTTATCAGTGTTTTGAGTTTTTAATGTAATGTTTAATTTAATTAAATTGTTTTTAATTTAATGTTGTAAATGCTTAACCCTTCAGTCTGGAAAACTAGTTTTACATAATTCAGGGACTTCAGAGTTCATATATTTGTTGTGACTTTTAAGCATAATCATTAATTAAAAGCAGTATTTGAGATTATGATCTGTTGAGTCTATTGATTGTTCTCAACTGAATTTATACCTTTTTAATACTAGTCAGTGATGGTGCTTTATAACATCAATGTTAATCAGTGTTAATAGCTCAATGTTTATAGGTACACAATTTTATATGCAAAACAGATTATAATCTAGTTAGATTTAATTTTTTTGTTCTTACACAGTACTGTATGAATATGCAGAGTATTTTTAAACAAACTTCTTACATTTGTTTTTCCTATAATGTACTTCATCCATCATAAAAATGAATGAGATTATCAGTCAGGAACTGACTGCTTTTTCTTAGTTTGATTGCTACTGTCAAACTAAAACACTGTCCAGTGTTTTAAAAATCTGGAAGGATTCCCCTTTAAGAGTAGTTTGTCACTATTACTCTATAAACACAGGGAGTAATTTATCTGTCCACCTATGCAATATCTTATGATGGAGGAAAAAATCCTATTACATGTCCATAATATATAGAAGATCTTTAGAGTGCACTTCAATATTTCTTATTTGCTCTTTTCTCTTGTTAGTATTGCAAATTTTATTTTCAAGCCTACTTAAACAAATAAACACATAATTACTAGAATATGTCATCTTTGAAAGGCAATAAATGTTGTTTTCTTGAGAAGATTTGTAACATACTTTTGCTCTTTCACATTTACTGTCTTTACCTGCTAACAGTAGCCACAGTCCATGCATGAGCAATCTTTACTCAAACATCTCTTAATCCTTTTCCTTACTTCATTTTCTGTAAGTATAGGTTTGTTAACTGCTTGCAAGATATTTTGGTCATATTTTTAATTAAGGCTGTCCATCAGAAACTGAGGAAAGGGCCTTTAGAAGACCATTTGTCCTCACAAGGAAAGTGCCCGATAAAATTGGGTTGTTTTTTTTTTACCAGCCCACAATTTAAACACAGTCTTACTAAAAAACAAAAACAAAACAGCATGAACCTCATGTAAGCATAATTCGTCCATGGTACATGAATTCAAAGTGTTATATTTCTTTCTGTATCCTTACTTTTTAGATTTGGGAAAACAAATTATATTTAATTCTCTTTAAAGAAATTACTGATCATATGGAAAAATACTTGAAGTGTAAAATTCAGGTAACATAAATTTTTGCCTAAAAAACCCCTCAAACCAGAAAATTATTTCATTGTGCTTCCAATCAGTATTGTCTGTTTCCATCCCAGCTATGGGCAGGGGTTCCCTGCCCACTCGGAGAGGTCTGTCCCGACTCTGGCTCTATTCCTCAGAAGGGCAGCACGGTTTGCAGAAGGTGTGACAGGATTTTGTGTGCAAGTGAAGGGATGTGCTGAGGTCTGAGGGAATCATGGATTTTATGTGTCTGGTTGGAATTCCAGAGGGCTGTATGAAAGAGCTGACAGAGGATTACCATCTCCAAATACAAGGGCAACAAAAGGCACCCAAATTAAATTCTGAATCTTTGAAACCAATTCAAAAATATTTTATTACTTGTTGAATTTCGTTCTCTGTCATTCCTTTCTGTCTTTTTCTGTCCTTCTGCTGAACAAATGACTTTGTAATATATTTGCTAAAGGATTCTGAAGAGTTGCTTGAATAACAGTATAAGGTGCAGTGTTAATTATCCCTCTCAAATGCATTTGCATGTAGGTAATACCTGTATTATGCAAATAAAACTCTTCCAATTTCCTTTTTAGCTTCTGCAGACATAAGCTGAATCTTGGATAACAGGATTCTTTAGTGTGGGTTTGGATTTTTTTCCTCCTCACATCTTAATTAGGAAAGGGAAAGGATAATTGTACAAAATACAAACTAGATTTCCATATCTGAGCAGTATTTTCTGGATTGTGCTTTTGTAACAATATTTAAGATACTTGAATGGAACAGCACGTTGGCCTAAGCCTTGGAAACAATGAGTACTATTAATGCTATGGAAATCAGCAGAACCTGAAAATCGGATTCCTTAACAATAGGATCAATTCTCTTGCATTGGAATCAAAAAAGTTCTTTAATTCTCAGGTTTATCATTTCACATTCTTAAAGTTCATTTCTTCCCTCATTCTGAGGGTGATTTATTTTGGTTGCTCTGTTATAGATGAAGTAGTTTCATCTTTCAACCTCACTGCATTTTCTCTAGGATTTCTATCACTTAAGACCTCAAAATAAAGGTGAGAGAAGATGAATGTGTATATGGAAGAACCCTCAGCTGGACCCAGCCCCAGGTATCTGAAACTTTGCAGTTTCTCAAAGTTTAATGAATGTTTACTGTGCTCAGCAGAGCAATCTGAAAGGTCAAGTGAAAACCAAAGGTTTTATTCCACCGAGCTTCATCACTGTGACACTTCTGGTATTACAGTGGTGGAGCAGCCGTGTTTTGTAAGCAGATGAGAGTGCTTTGCTCTCCTCAGGTGGTTGGCACGTGTGGGGATGGACACAGGCAGAGCTGACACACCTGTCTGGCTGGCTGGGCTATTCTTGCATGGCCTTTTTGAGTCTGTGTGTTCCTTTAAAGAATCCAAGACAAAAACATGCTCTTATAAACTGAGTGTAACAGTACCAGGTGGCTGTGTAAGGCAGCAGACAGTGTCCTGAGTTCAGTTTGGTGCAGGCAGAGGCAGAGATGTGCCAGCAGCTCTGGAGCACGGGGGGGTGCTGGGGTACAGGTGGGTGCTGGGGTACAGGTGGGTGCTGGGGACAGGGGTGGGTGCTGGGGACAGGGGTGGGTGCTGGGGTACAGTGGATGCTGGGGTACAGTGGGTGCCGGGGTACAGGTGGGTGCTGGGGACAGGGGTGGGTGCTGGGGACACGGGTGGGTGCTGGGGTACAGGTGGGTGCTGGGGTACAGTGGGTGCTGGGGACAGGGGTGGGTGCTGGGGACAGGGGTGGGTGCTGGGTACAGGTGGGTGCTGGGGACAGGGGTGGGTGCTGGGGACACGGGGGGTGCTGGGGTACAGTGGGTGCCGGGGTACAGTGGGTGCCGGGGTACAGGTGGGTGCTGGGGACAGTGGGTGCTGGGGACAGGGGTGGGTGCTGGGTACAGGTGGGTGCTGGGGTACAGTGGATGCTGGGGTACAGTGGGTGCTGGGGTACAGTGGGTGCTGGGGACAGGAGTGGGTGCTGGGGTACAGTGGGTGCTGGGGACAGGGGTGGGTGCCGGGGTACAGGTGGGTGCTGGGGACAGGGGTGGGTGCTGGGGTACAGGTGGGTGCCGGGGTACAGGTGGGTGCTGGGGACAGGGGTGGGTGCTGGGGACAGGGGTGGGTGCTGGGGTACAGGTGGGTGCCGGGGTACAGGTGGGTGCTGGGGTACAGGTGGGTGCCGGGGTACAGGTGGGTGCTGGGGACAGGGGTGGGTGCTGGGGTACAGTGGGTGCCGGGGTACAGGTGGGTGCTGGGGACAGGGGTGGGTGCTGGGGTACAGGTGGGTGCCGGGGTACAGGTGGGTGCTGGGGACACGGGGGGTGCTGGGGTACAGGTGGGTGCCGGGGTACAGGTGGGTGCTGGGTACAGGTGGGTGCTGGGGTACAGTGGGTGCCGGGGTACAGGTGGGTGCTGGGGACAGGGGTGGGTGCTGGGGACAGGGGTGGGTGCTGGGTACAGGTGGGTGCTGGGGACAGGGGTGGGTGCTGGGGACAGGGGTGGGTGCTGGGGTACAGGTGGGTGCTGGGGACAGGGGTGGGTGCTGGGGACAGGGGTGGGTGCTGGGTACAGGTGGGTGCTGGGGACAGGGGTGGGTGCTGGGGACACGGGGGGTGCTGGGGTACAGTGGGTGCCGGGGTACAGGTGGGTGCTGGAGTACAGTGGGTGCTGGGTACCGGTGGGTGCTGGGGACACGGGGGGTGCTGGGGTACAGGTGGGTGCTGGGGACAGGGGTGGGTGCCGGGGTACAGGTGGGTGCTGGGGACAGGGGTGGGTGCCGGGGTACAGGTGGGTGCTGGGTACAGGTGGGTGCTGGGGACAGGGGTGGGTGCTGGGGACAGGGGTGGGTGCTGGGGTACAGGTGGGTGCTGGAGTACAGTGGGTGCTGGGTACAGGTGGGTGCTGGGGACACGGGGGGTGCTGGGGTACAGGTGGGTGCTGGGGACAGGGGTGGGTGCTGGGGTACAGGTGGGTGCTGGGTACAGGTGGGTGCTGGGGACAGGGGTGGGTGCTGGGAACAGGGGTGGGTGCTGGGAACAGGGGTGGGTGCTGGGGACAGGGGTGGGTGCTGGGGACAGGGGTGGGTGCTGGGGTACAGGCGGGTGCTGGGGACACGGGGGTTGCTGGGGTACAGGTGGGTGCTGGGGACACGGGGGGTGCTGGGAACAGGGGTGGGTGCTGGGGACAGGTGGGTGCTGGGTACAGGTGGGTGCTGGGGACAGGGGTGGGTGCTGGGTACAGGTGGGTGCTGGGGACAGGGGTGGGTGCTGGGTACAGGTGGGTGCTGGGTACAGGTGGGTGCTGGGGACAGGTGGGTGCTGGGGACAGGGGTGGGTGCTGGGTACAGGTGGGTGCTGGGTACAGGTGGGTGCTGGGGACAGGGGTGGGTGCTGGGTACAGGTGGGTGCTGGGGACAGGGGTGGGTGCTGGGTACAGGTGGGTGCTGGGTACAGGTGGGTGCTGGGAACAGGGGTGGGTGCTGGGGACAGGGGTGGGTGCTGGCTGCTTTGGGGGGCAGCCTGCCCGTGGGAGGGTCTCCCCTGCTCTGGGAGCGCTGAGAGCAGCTCCCTGCCGGTGTCAGACGAGGTTTCCTCGCCGCTCGCTGTGGCTGTGCCGATCCCGAGCCCAGGAAAGGCGGATAATGAGCGGAGCGGTGCAGGGAGGTGATTGATGGTGCCCGGTTCTGACAGCTCCAGTGCCGACATTCCCTGGGTATCCGTTCCGGCATTAGCATGCTGACAGCTCAGCATTTAGGACATTATGGTAATTTATCCTGCATACGCTGTCACCTGCACTGTCAGAGTTTGTTTTTAATGATGGTATAACTATTTTGTTTGTTTGTACTGCATTCTTTTCATTTGGCTAATGTCTCCTCATTAGATTGCACCTAGTAAATGAGAGTAATTAAGTGTTTCCTATAGCTCAGATGCAATGATTAAGTTGCAGAGTTGGTGCTGATTATGTTTTGCCATTTATCTCTATTAATCTGAGAATAATCCAGATGATAAACACGTGGAATTTTTTTTTCTAATGTTCAATAGATGAAATTTATAGCTTCTCAATGGAACCAAACAATGTGTGTATTTTTATATGAATCCTAAGTTATTGTACTTATATTTCTGTTAAATAAACATACAGTTATCTGTGCAACTAAGAAAAAAAGTGGAAAATCTACTGAATGTAACGATTCTCACTTTTAAAAATGCATTTGTGTATGGAAAATGACTCCTCATAATTCACAGTTCAGTGACTGTTTATTTTTTCTCAAATATCTACAGAGATTCTTGTGGTGATATTTCTAAGGATTTTTTCCTCCAGTTATTATCTGTATTTGTTATTATTAATTCTAGAATACAAATTGCATCTCTAGTACTGAAATGTAATTTTTATATAGACATTTCCAAATTACTCAGTTTAGAAACAACAACAACAACAAAGAAATACACTAACACATCAAATTAAGTACCTCACAGCAATTTGTAAATCTTTATTTAACTTTCATGCTGTAGACAGACATTGAAAAATAGTTTGAGCTATTTCTTCAATGCAAAGTAGCATTAATTAATTTTTATACAAATAATAATGGCAACACTAGGAATACCCTGAGTTGTTTGATGATGTTCCTTTGTTTTCCTGGCTCTACGACCTTCCTAGCACATCACAGTGTGATGTGCTATTTCTGAATTTATTTACTATTTCTAAATTTATTGTTTACTGTTTCACTATATATACGTTGAGAAAGGCAGACATCATGGTCCCATAATTAAGTGGGGTTTATACATCAAAATTCTGATTGGCTTCGAAAGTAGCAGATTCTGTGTGTCCCTGGTTAATAAACTGCTTTAACATGGAAGTTGGAAGAGCTGTTGAGGAACAGCCCCCGGGCTAGCTGGGGTTTCTGTTAAATGTGTACAAATAAAAGCTGGAGAGCGTTTCAGGCGTGCTCCTGCCCAGCGTTCCTGCCCCGCACGGCAGCGCTCTCTGCGCGGTGCTGAGTCCCCGTGGTGCCAGGGCAATGCTGTGCCCAGTGTCCCCGTGGTGCCAGGGCAATGCTGTGCCCAGTGTCCCCGTGGTGCCAGGGCAATGCTGTGCCCAGTGTCCCCGTGGTGCCAGGGCAATGCTGTGCCCAGTGTCCCCGGTGTCCTGCGGCCGCTCTCGTCACTGGGGATGGGCTACAGCGAGAGTCCAAGCACACCTTGCTTTGGACCAGTTCCTCTGCTTTGGAGCACTGCTTGTTCCTGGATGTGTGTCCCTGAGCAGCTCCTGGCCCCTCAGGGAATGTCTCCCTGGGAGGTGCTGTGCGGAGTTTCATTGCACTTCCCTGGGCTCAGAGCTCCTGAAATCCCCGGCTGGCTGCTTCCCCTTGGGGTGCTCAGCCCATGGCCAGCCCCGCCAGTCCCAGCCACCTCTGCTGCTGAGGAGGTGAATCCTGGGACTGGCCTTGGTCCAGAGAGGCTCTCTGACATGCTGTGAAGTGACTGCGTGCTGCCATGCTCCCACCTCACCAGCTGAAGAGGGGGACAGTGGGTTTGAGCTAAGGGGAGCAGTGGAACCAGGAGGAGATGGACATGGAAAGCTGCAGTGAGATCGAGCATGGTGTGGCAAAGACAGCTGAAACATGCTGGGCAGGAGAGCTCGGGGTTGATGGGCATGGCCCAGCCATAGCCCACAGATTCAAGTGATTTTCAGTTTGTGCACATTTGTTAGTCTGGCTGAGATTTTTCCAATATGTCTTTTAGATGAGTACACAACTATTTAAGGTTCAATTTTCATTTTTTAATACATAAAATCACATTATTGATACAACTCTATAGACGTCTAGCTTGAAATATAAGTTAATCAGATCAAATTGTTGGTCATTAGAATTCATTTGCTTCCTGAGAACATTCGTTTTAGGGCATCAGCATTCTTTCTGGAAAAGCAAATACTCTGTTCTGTTTATGTGGGTCAATCCTGGAGTAGCTGCTTAATATCCCATGTCTGGAATTCAGTTGTCTTTTCTCTTGGGTGGGTCAGGAAGGCAGCTGAAGTAGGCAGTAATGGCTGCTGGGCTTTCATTTCTTTGTGACTGGTAAATGAAACACATGCAGCCTCACCAAACTACATGACTAATGACAACCTCCAGTGGCTCCTGCAATCAAAGATTAATTTGCTTTATCAAGTTTAAAGAATAGTAGGTGATAAATCATGTCAAAAAGAAATAATCAGTGGCAGGCTGATGTTCTTCTGCACAGTGGAGGACAGGTGCAATAGAGGATTCATCTGCCATAGACTGTTAATTTTGTTCTCATGCTGATGTGTTAATTTTTATTTAGTTGATTTTTCAGTCAAATGGGATGCATTGTCAACTAATATTTTTACCTAAAATATATATAGTATTGCATTTTAGATCTACAGTTAAACATGTTTAAAGTCTATCACTTTCCATCAAAATATTT